CATAATTCTTTAGTTGGTAAACTGTTTAATGTTCACTTCCTTCTAAATTTAAAGGAATCAATTTTACCTCCTATGTTTAATTGAAACACCAAGAGGGTGGCTGATTCAGAAGGAATTGCTATATGTATATGTGAGAATTTAATCTTTTTCTTTCTAGCTGCTATATTTTTGGAAATCATTTTTCATACCCAAGTGAGCTTTGGAAGCAAAATTTCTATGGACTTACAGTACATCTCAGGGAAGTAGACTTCAGGGAAGTAGATCAGATACATTTCTGTTCCTATTTTGTCTTTATTTCATCAATGAGAGGCAATAATCTTTGTACTGCACTAGGTGTGTGTGTGTGTTCATATATATATATATATATATCAAACACACAGATGCATACCTGCTTCACAAGAAAGCAAAAAGCAAGAAAAAGAAAAACCAAGAAAATGACTTTGGCGTATTAAAGCTGGGCAGAACAGCACATACGTTAAAGCTGGACAGAACAGCACATACTATAGTGTCTTGCATGTGGACACTACAAAAACCCAGTAAATAATTAGCAAAATATGTATGTGTATACATTTTAAAAGATTTTTTTAATATTGAAAATTTTGAAAAATATTTGTTTTTCCTGCTTTGCAACTGAATTACAGCCTAACTTGAATGCAGCTCTCTGCATTCTTTATGTCTGCTGTTATGTATAAAGTTATAAAGCTTCAGTTGTATGAATGTAATTATTTTAAATGTCTTGTAACTGACTATATTAATTTTGTAAGCTGGACAGAACAATCTGATCATAACCACACCAGCCTTAAAACAGATAACAGAAGCAATCTGATTGTGGTATAGAGCATCTTATGTCTCAATAATTCAGATTGCTGAGACTTAGAAAAAAAGAGATTTGGGGTGTTATGATAAAGAAAACACCACCTACATAAGTGTAGATAAGTAGGGTGGAGAATTATGTAGGGAAAATCTACAAGGAAAAAGCATTTCACCAATGAAAAAAAGATTTTGAGATGAAGAAACAAATGGATAGTGAGGTAGAAACTAATTTACATTTCTTATTCTAAGTCTATCCCAGAATTTAAGATAACAGAGAGAGACTGTAGGAGGATAATAGATTAATACAGAGAGGCTATGATAGGGTAACAAAGAGACAATAAAATGAAGAGTGATGGGATAATGAATTCCTTGTTCAATATTTATGCAGAGTGATTATACAGAGTGATCTCTGAAAAGAATCGGAAATATTATTGGATATTTCAGGCACTGAGAGCATTATTTTACATATGCAAATCTCAAGAAAATGTGTAATAATACACAGATGTGAAAGCTATGCTATGCTAAACCAATCCTTTATCATCCTTCCACACTTTCCACCTGCTTTAAGCTGTAATAAATGAGAGTGTTTGTGAGTGTGTGTGTGGCCTCATAGCATGATTTAAAGATTCATATTTTATATTTAAGAACCCAAAGAATATATATGTACTCAGAGAAGTTCAACAACTTTTCAAATATTCTTAACCATGCCCATTCAGTGTTAAACTAGTGCTTAATGTCCGGGGGGGGGGTTCTCTATTCACTGCTGAAATTTTTTAAGAAAGTGAATATTTGTCTTGGGCATACTGTACATAAGGATCTGTGGTAACAAATGTTTTGTTGTTGAACCTGTTTTAGCCTGGCATAAAAGACACAACTTACACAAGTGCCTCTTGCAAAGGCCATTTATTATTCTCAAAACAATCCTGCCGTATAATATACTTCTCTGAAATGGTTTTCATTTCACCATATTTGATATGAATGTACATTGTCCCAACTGGGATCTTTCTGTTCTTTCAAAATCACAAAAATAATTCTGTATCTGCTCTCCCTTGATAATTAAAGAGATATGTAGGCCCAAATCAAATCTTCTAACAAGGTGACACCTTGGGCATGGATTCATCCTATCTGTTACTCCCTTCCCCATCAAAACCAGCATTCTGTATTTGCTAAATAGAACCAAATGTTGTTTTATTTGGTTTTAATGTATTTTCTTAAAACTTCTTCCACTGCCCTCGTTACATGGATGACAATGCCATAATTCTAATTTTGAGAATTGTCAGCAGAGGAAAGACGGCACACTGTGCAAAAGTTTTGTCCTAATGTACAATATGCATGAATCTATAAGAGACTAAAATATAATTAGAGCTTGAAAATCTTGTTTGTGCTCTTCTGGTGTCAGCATCTTCCAAAAGTTGATACACAGTTGAAGTATATCTTTATAAGCTGCACAGCCGGTTACGTATCCTCAAAGTTAGTTATCCATGGAACCTCCCCTTTTAGTATTCACCTATGATCTAATGAGTCATCGTTTCAGAGATATTTCCTTATCTAAATAAAGAAACAAAATTATCATGAGTGAAAATGACTTCTAACTTCCAGTTGGTTTCCCCATTGAGTTTTTTGTGTGTGTGTGTGGGGAGGTGGCATAAGCATTGGAAATTTTCCTTCTCCCTCTCCCCCTTCCCCTCCCCCTCCTCTTTTCCTTTTCTTCCCTCCCCCTTTTTTCTCCCCACCCTTCCCTTTCCTTCTCTCCCCTCTCCTCCCCTTCCTGAGTTGGATACCCGAACGAACTACAGTAATGACGCTGTTTGGGAGACAGTACATCAGAGGGGAAAATTCATTTATCTTCCCAGGAAAGGTTCAGTTGTCAAGATAATAACAGCTGTTGCAACTGTTCCTATTCTGGCTTATACTCCAAATAAGGAAAAAAAACCCACATGCTTAGTTTTTGCAGGTTTTAAATGCAGTATTTGCATTGGTGTCTCACAGAGTTTGAACTGACAAAAGATAGCAATCACACTGTACATTATTATAGAAATGTCTAACTCAGCAGTTCTCAACCTATGGGTTGCGACCCCATTTGGGGTCGATCGACCATTTTACGGGGGTCGCCAAACAAGGCGATCCGCCATTTCCCCCCCTCGGGGCGGCGCCGCGCATGCGCGGCACATTTGTGTGACGGGGGTCGCCGTCACACAAACGTTGAGAAACGCTGGTCTAACTCTAGAGTAAATATTCTGCAGTATATAAAACCTGCAGAATTTTGGAAATTAAAATGATGATTCAGCTGATTCCCACAGTGTAGAAAACACTACATTGATATATAGGATTGGAAGTATAAATGCACACCTGCAGACTATCTCTTTTGGTCTTTCCACTTCATGTAGTTATACTCTATTGTTATTAATGGAGATTGTGAAAGAGATGCTATACTATCTTCTCCCAAACTTTGAATCTAGACAGAAACTCCTTCATACTCAGGAAATAGTTTGTAATATGTTGCAAGAACCTACTTAAACACCACAGAGTTGTATCCAACTATGACAATGAATGTCGATGACAACAATGAATTAATCTCTCCCCATAACTTTTACGGTCCCCCTTTTTTTTGCTTCTATATATGTTCTTGAAGGATTGAGCCATTTATGGAAGATGTGGGAGAGTGGCTGCAATGAGGAGAGTAGGGGAAAGCAAGGGAACCTTCATTGTGGGCTTTTGAACTAGAAGAATGTATGTAGATGAACACTAGATGGCAGTAGAATGATACAAAAAAAACTGCTTCCATCTAAGGGTGACCTGGAATTTTATAGTTCAAATCCGGTACCTGCATTCATTTCTGATTGGAAGTCATTTGTACTGTATTAAGTATTTATGTCATATATTGTTTCTTAGACTAAAGAATGTTGTGTCAGACAGTTAATTTCACTCATTGATTGACCACACCAATTGCAGTTTAATCTGTAGTAAGCAGCTGCAAAAGGACTATCTTCAGATTTTTTTCAAATATTTGTATTTCTATTTCTGCAATAATAGTACAGAAGATGTATGTGTGGATAAAGCCACTTCTGCTCATAAAGTGCCACATGGTGCTGCAGATATTTTTCAGAATTTTTTTGCAGCTGAATTAAAAGAACAAAAGAGCCAGTTTGATGTAATGGTTCAGGTACTGGCCAGGAAACCTGAAGATTGTGAGTTCTAGCATAAAGGCCTGCTGGGTGACTTTGGGCCAGTCATTCTCTTTCAACCCAACTCATCTCACAGTCACACATTTGAAAAATAAAAGAATAAAATTATTCAAATGGGACTTTAGAATTTAAAACATCTCTTACAGTTTATAGATCCCCATCAAACCTGAAAAAAATATAATACAATACCTGACTTGGCATGTACACCCTAAAACCAGTTAATGTTGACCCTTAGTGAATATCTGACCATTAGTGGCTAGGATTCTGCCAGGTGACTATTTACAGTACATTTATTTGTTAAATTTGTTTGCTATCTATTTATTTTTCCTTTACCAGGGGCTACTCTAGACAGCTTACAAAAATAAAAACCATTATAAAAAAAGCAAGATTTGGTTGGTATTCATGATAAAACAAGTTTATGGTATATCTCCCTGTTCCCACCATGATCTTTAGATGACTGGCTGGCCTTTACATTCTGTGTTTATTTATAGATCATCATTTATTGTATAGTTAGTACATAGGACGAATGTGCTTTTCTTTCTTTCTTATGTTCACTTCACACTGCATTATGCAGTCAGTTATTGTTATTCCCGTTTTGAGCTGACTGCCAGCAATTCGAATCTCAGTGGCTCAAGGTTGACCCAGCCTTCCAGCCTTCCAAAGTTGGTAAAATGAGGACCCAGATTGTTAGGGGGCAATATGCTGACTCTGTAAACCACTTAAAGAGGGCCATAAAGCACTGTGAAGCAATATATAAGTCTAAGAATTGTTACTATCACCAAGTGGGCATTAGAAGTGGGTTTCTTTCTCCAAGTGGTTCCTACATGGCTGAATTAGATTTTGAGGCCATGTTTATGGTTCTAAAAGTTTCTTCCTGGATCAAATCTATATCCAAGTAGGGTTGAAATCCATGTTTGGAAGTAGCACTTGGTTTCACTATGAGATAAAGCTATTTTTTGTTGAGCATCTGACATCTATTGCTTCTCTTCTCCTTATGGGCAGCTGCTGGAACTCCTGTGACATCACAGAAAGAATGTACCGAGGATCCATCAATATTGTGCCAGGATTTTGCTACAGCTCTGAAGTGTGGAAGTTTGGAGCGCTGTCATCAGATGCTGCAAGTTAATGGCCCTGTGAGTATATATGACATTATAATAAAATTTCCATTTCATTATTAACAACATTTCCATTTCACTGTATCTAAGATCTCGATCAATGTTTTTCAAACCTGGCAAATTTAAGATGTGTGGACCAATTCCCAGAATTCCTCAGATAGTTAGATCTGTGTTTGTGTATGCATTGAAGACCGCATCATTTACTTAATAAATAAATGTTGTCCTTTGTATTCAAATGACTATTAGCAGCTTACAATATTTTTCAATCCATTACTTGATATCTTCCATAGTATAATTATAAAATAAAACTGAACTTCAAATATACATACATTTAAATGTATAACAGATGTAGTAAAAATAAAACCAATAAGTGAAATAAATAAATAGATGGGGGCAATCACATTGCAAAAACTCTTCCAAATAATTCTGTTTTAAGAAGTGTACAAAATGCCACTAAAGTAGAACCTGATTGTATCTTGGGGGAGGAATATTCCATTAAGTAAGTGTCATAGCTAGACAACTGGACCTTTGAGACTTTTACCTCAGAAAAGTCGGAGGCCACTAGAAATTTTGGTTGGGACACCTGCAGTGAAACTGGTTTGAGAATATGATCCTAGAGCAGTGTTTCTCAACCTTGACAATTTTAAGGCATGTGGACTGCAACTCCCAGAATTCCACAGCCAGCAATGCTGGCTGTGGAATTTTGGGAGTTGAAGTCCACATGCCTTAAAATTGTCAAGGTTGAGAAACACTGTCCTAGAGACAGTCATCTCTTTGTACCCAATTTATTGTTTGTCTTTCTCTTTTGACCTCTTCAAGATATAATTCAGATAGAACTGAGTCCTCTATAGCAGTGGTTCTCAACCTTCCTAATGCCACGACCCTTTAATACAGTTCCTCATGTTGTGGTGACCCCCAACCATAAAATTATTTTAGTTGCTACTTCATAACTGTAATTTTGCTACTGTTTTAAATCATAATGTAAATATCTGATACGCAGGGTGTATTTTCATTGTTATAAATTGAACATAATTAAAGCATAGTGATTAATCGCAAAAAAAAATAGCAATGCTGGCTGGAGAAGCTTACTCTTCCTTGCTCAAAAACGTTGGGAGGGAGGGAAGGGGAAGGAAGGAAGATTGAAGGGGAAAGGAAGAAGATGGAGAAAGAAGGAGATTAAAGGGGAAAGGGAGGAAGGAAGGAAGGAAGGAAGGAAGGAAGGAAGGAAGGAAGGAAGGAAGGAAGGAAGGAAGGAAGGAAGGAAGGAAGGAAGGAAGGAAGGAGAAAGAGATTGAAGGGGAAGGGATGGAGATGGAGATGGGAAGGAAGGAAGGAAGATTGAAGGGGAAAGGAAGGAGATGGAGAAGGAAGGAGATTGAAGGGGGAAGGAAGGAAGGAAGGAAGGAAGGAAGGAAGGAAGGAAGGAAGGAAGGAAGGAAGGAAGGAAGGAGAGAAAGAGATTGAAGGGGAAGGGATGGAGATGGAGATGGAAGGAAGGAAGGAAGGAAGATTGAAGGGGAAAAGAAGGAGATGGAGAAGGAAGGAGATTGAAGGGGAAGGAAGGAAGGAAGGAGAGAGATTGAAGGAGAAGGGGATGGAAGGAAGGAAGGAAGATTGAAGGGGAAAGGAAGGAGATGGAGAAGGAAGGAGATTGAAGGGGGAAGGAAGGAAGGAAAGAAGGAAGGAAGGAAGGAAGAAAGGAAGGAGAGATTGAAGGGGAAGGAATGGAGATGGAGATGGAAGGAAGATTGAAGGGGAAAAGAAGAAGGAGAAGGAAGGAGATTGAAGGGGAAAGGAAGGAAGGAAGGAAGGAAGGAAGGAAGGAAGGAAGGAAGGAAGGAAGGAAGGAAGGAAGGAGAGATTGAAGGGGAAGGGAAGGAGATGGAGATGGAAGGAGATTGAAGGGGAAGGAAGGAAGGAGAGAGAGATTGAAGGGGAAGGGATGGAGATGGAGATGGAAGGAAGGAAGGAAGATTGAAGGGGAAAGGAAGGAAATGGAGAAGGAAGGAGATTGAAGGGGAAAGGAAAGAAGGAAGGAAGGAAGGAAGGATCTTTGGAGAGTCATGTTTTCCCAAATGGTGATGAACTGCAACTCACAGCATTCCCCACTCTTCCAGTGCTTTTTAGGGCTGCTGGGGTTGGTAGTCTGGAGCCCCCCATCCTCATCCCGGCACCTCTTACCCTCTCCCAGCCGCCCCCCTGGGACCTGCCCGCTCCTCCAGCCTCCTGAGCGCCATCGAAGTGGCGGGATCATGGGAGCCCCTTTCCACACTACTCAGCCCTTCACTACCACGACCCTTCCCTGACTCGTCGCACACAAGAGGGGCGCAGCCGGAGCACCAGCTCCCACTCAGAAGGCACCACTTCTCCCCTCCCGGCCTGTCCGGCTGGCCTCCATGCGGGCATCTCCCTCTTCCCCACTGCCTGGCCGCTTCCGAGGCCCAGAGCCTGATGAGCCGGGAAGGAGTTGCTCCTGCATGCCAGCCCCAGGGCTGTGCTGGGCGCCAGAGGGCCAAGGCAGCCTCTGACAGTGAGGGAGGCGGGCCAGGCGGTGCGGGGGAAGCTCCGGCACGGCATGGAGGGCAGCAGGGGATGGAGCGCGGCCAGGCAAACAGGAGGCATGGGGACTGGCTCGGTGCCGCAGCTCAGTTCAGCCAGCAGCGGCAGCAGCGGCGGAGCAACCCAGCGGCAGAGCCAGCAGTGGCCCAGACCCGGCTCAGCTCAGACCGGTCGCCCACACAGCTGAGCTGGCCCGCGGTGGTGTCGGGGGCACATGTCAAGCCCCTGGGCTTGCCATGAGCCGGGAGATGGGGAGGACGCAGCCAGCAGCCGGCCGACGTCCGCATGGCCCCCATGAGCACCGCCTGACTCCCGACAGTCAGCTGGGAGTCGGGTCGACGTCCGGACGTTGGTGGGGAACCAGCGGGGCCACTACACACTGCCTGGCTCTCAACAGCCAGCTGAGAGTCAGCCCGGCATGTGCATGTCAGCTGGGAGTCGGCCCAGCCTCCTCTTGTCAGCCTGGCTCCTGGGAATCAGCCGGGAGTCAGCCCGGCTCCTGGCCAGCAGCTGGGAGTCAACATGGCTGCTGCGGGATGGCGCTGTGGTGGCAGAAGCAGGCGCTGTCGGAGGAGAACGGTGCCCTGGAGGCGGAGGAGCCGGTGGAGGAGGAGGAGGAGGGTGGCGGCGGCCAGAGAGAAGAGTGGTGTCTCGGTTCCTAATACCATCAGAAATATGTGTTTTCCGATGGTCTTAGGCAACCCCTGTGAAAACGTCGTTCGACCCCTAAAAGGGTCATGACCCACAGGTTGAGAACCGCTGCTCTAGGGCATCAGAGGACAGGACAAGAAGTAATAGGTGGAAGCTTGTCAAAGTAAGGAGAAGTTGTGAATGATTCATCACTGGAAGTTTTCAAAAATAGACTATAGACTCGACAGCCATTTATCTGGGATGATATAAGACTCATGCCTTGAACAGGAGTTGGATTAGAAGACCTTCCAGCCCTACGATTTGAGGAGATGGAATGTCCATGCAAATAATTAATATCCACCTTGACCTCACTCTTGAATTATCAGATAGAAAATAGGATAAATTTGGATTTATTCATAAGACATTTCAGTGCTGATAGTAATTCAAGAGTTTTAGATGCTTCCAATGTGGCCAAATAATGAAATTGAAATATATTTTAATGGATATACTGCCATTGTGACAATTCAGACAATCCGAATACTTGCAAAAACTCTTTTTAAAAAAACCCTGAATGGCAACAAACAGACCCTACATGAACAACAAAACAAACTAAAATCTCTTACATTTTCAGATTAGTATTATCCCAAATTATTATCCCAAACCTCTCTCCACCTAACCGGTCCCTGGTGCCCCAAAGGTTGGGGACCTCTGATGTAAGGTGTTGCCCCAACCAACTATCCTTGTTTTGTTGTAATTAATGTATGATCTTTCTTCTGGCAGTAAGAAATTATATCATCAGCCCTAGCAACAATGGCAGCATTTTATTTCTCTTTACAGGAAAAGCAAAAATATGACCCTGCTTCTCTCTACCATTGTAGAGACTTTCTTTTCAATATTGTACCAAATTGTAAATAATTTGGATAGGATTCTTATTTTAATCAATGCTATAGCTTCAACTAACTAGTTCTTAGTTTTGTTTCAGAGGAACAACTAATTTAGTGAGAACAAAGGGTTAAAATGTAATACAAATGTTCTTCTAGTAACACTCTTTTCTTTCTTTTTTCCTCAGAAAAGTTTAAAATGCACTCTTTGTAAATTCACTGTAGTCATTATGGCAAAGATTGTTCAAGACAATATTACAGATGTAAGTACTTTGGGCTTGGGAATTGTAGTAACTAAAAGTGTTAGATGAGGGAAGGGGGGACATTTATTTATTAATGAAGGAATTTTTTTAAAGAAATTTGAAAGAAATGTTCTGTGCTGTATTATTATTATGTATTATTCTAATTTAGACGTCAGACTAAGCCATAATGTGGCTTGTTTAGTGTCACTTAAAGTAATGTAGCTTATTAATAATCATTTAGTTAGCATGATATGTGAACTAGGCCCCTATGACCTAACCAGCAAATCGTAATCAAACTAACCATGGCTTAAACATTACTATGAACTTCTCAGGATCCCTTTATGGCACTAAACTAGCTTTATTCAAAGTGAGTTTTTCATTCTTACCCCCTCAATGCTGTTTTCACAGATTGCTGTAGCCATTGGGAAAATGATAAAAAATCTGTAACAAAACAGAACAGAACGAAACAAAACAACTTATGTCCTTCTCTATATTTTTCCTCTTTCTAGGAAAGACTTGCTAAGTTTTTTGAGAGTGGATGCCAGTATCTTCCCTTCCAGGACTGGTCAATAAAATGCAAGAAGATGGTGGACACTGGAGTGATCATTCTTATAGAGCTTGGTAAACAAGTTCAGGTAAATTATCTTTGGAAATATTATGGGAGTTGGTTGGTGCTGATGCTTCTAACTGTGACTTTTGATATAGATCAGATTCAAGTCAACCATTTTCTGATGGTTGATCTCATTATTTACTCTGCAACCAGCATGGTTGCTGGTTACTCTGAAACTAGCATGGTTGGACAAAGATCTCTCTGATAAACTGAAAGAGAAAAAGGACAAGTACAAAAAATGGAAAGAGGGACATAGAACTTAGGCAGAATATCAACAGAAAGTCCAAATCTGCAAAAATGAAGTCAGAAAAGCAAAGGCTCAGAATGAACAAAGACTTGCAACAAAAGTCAAAGATAATAAAAATAGTTTCTTTCAACATATAAATAAAAAGAAAAGCCAAGGAAACAATCGGTCCATTAAAGCGAGAAGATGGCAAGGAAGTATAACAGGCAGTAGAGAGAAACCAGAACTGCTTAACTTACTCTTTGCATCAGTCCTCATGCTAAAAGAAACCATAGCCCAAGCTACCAAAAACATAACCGTAGAAGATAGATCAGAAATAAAGATTAAAATAAACAAGAAAATGGTAACAGAACAACTGTCTGTTCTTGATGAATATAAATCATTGGGACCTGATGGATTACATCTCAGAATTCTAAAGGAACTGGCAGATGTTATCTCAGAACCATTGTACCATATCTTTCAAAAATTTTGGAACACCGGGGAACTACCTGAGGATTGGAAAAGAGCTGATGTGGCTGTCATCTTCAAAAAAGGAAAAAAAAACTAGAGTCAGGAAACTATATAGATCAATCAGTCTAACATCAATAACTAGAAAGATAATGGAAAAGGTAATAAAAAAACAGATCTGTGAACATCTAGAAACAAATAAAGTTATAAGTAGAAGCCAGCACAGGTTTGCTAAAAACAGATCATGCTAAACCCATCTTATTTCATTCTTTGATAAAATGGCTAAATTAGTAGACCAGTGGAATGCTGTGGACATAGTATACTTAGATTTCAGTAAAGCATTCGACAAAGTAGACCACAAACTCCTTCTTACTAAGCTAGAAAAAAGGGATAGATGGCAGATGGATTTGTAACAGGTTGACAAACCATATTCAATGAGTCCTTAATGGTACTACATCTACATGGAGGGAAGTAACCAGTGAGGTACCACAAGGTTTCGTCTAAGGCCCAGTACTCCTCAATATCTTCATAAATGATTTAGATGAGGGAATTGAAGGAGAACTCATCAAATTTGCAGATGACACTAAACTGGCAGGAATAGGTGACACTCGGAAACAAGCTCAGTATCTAAAAGGATCTTGACAGATTTGAACAATGGGCCCTATCCAACAAAATGAAATTTAATGTGGAGAAAAGCAAGGTTTCATCCTTAGGCAGGAAAAACCAAAGGTACAATAACAGATTAGGCGAAACCTGGATCAAAAACAGTAACTGTGAGAGGGACCTTGGAGTGCTAGTGGACGATCACTTAAACATGTTGGCTCACCATAAAGCTTAGTAAGACAACACATGGAATACTGCATCTAATTTTGTTCACCACATTACAAAAAAAGATATTGAGACTTCAGAAAAAGTGCAGAGAAGAGCAACTAAGATGATTAAAGGCCTGGAGACTAAAACGTGAAGAAAGATTGCAAGATTTGGGCATGGCTAGTCTAGAGAAAAGAAGGACTAGGGGAAAATATGATAGCAGTATTCCAAAACGAGGTCTACTATTAATCATGATTAATACCCAATGGTCATCAGACTCCCAGCTGTTTGGCCACAGAAAATAATATGAATCCCCCTAATCCCAAACCCACACCCCAAAATGTATCATAGCAGGAAGGGGGGAATTCGACTCCCATGAGTCATTCAGAATAGAGCTGGAAGGAACCTTGGAGGTCTTCTAGTCCCACCCCCTGCTCAAGCAGGAGACCTTATACCATTTCAGATGAGCCCAGTCTCTTCTTAAAAACCTCCAGTGATAGTGCCATGATTTCTGAAGGCAAGGTGTTCCACTGGTTAATTGTCCTCACTGTTAGGAGGTTTGTCCTTAGTTCCAGATTGCTTCTCTCCTTGATTAGTATCCATCCATTGTTTCTTGTCCTGCCTGCAGGTGCTTTGGAAAATAAGTTGACCCCCCCTCCTCTTTGTGACAACCTCTCAAATACTGAGATACTGCTATCATGTCCCCCCTAGTCCTCCTTTTCTCTAGACTAGCCAAACCCAAATCCTGCAGCCGTTCTTCATATGTTTTAGTCTCCAGGCCTTTAATCGTCTTACCGTAGTTGCTCTTCTTTGCACTTTTTCCAAAGTCTCAACATCTTTTTTGTAATATGGTGACCAAAACTGGATGCAGTATTCCAGATGTGGTCTTATTAAGGCTTTATAAAGCGGTACTAATACTTCACGTGATTTTGATTATATGACTTTGTTTATACAACCAAGGATTGTATTAGCTGCTTTGACTGCTGCTGCACATTTCTGGCTCATGTTTAAGTGATTGTCACTAGGACTTCAAGGTCCCTCTCACAGTTACTGTTTTTGAGCCAGATTTTACGTAATCTGTACTTGTACCTTTGGTTTTTCCTACCTAAGTGTAAAACCTAGCTTTTATCCACATTAAATTTCAAGTTGTTGGATAGGGCCCATTGTTCAAGTCTGGGCCCTAAAATCACTTACTGTGCTGATTGGATCTAAGTAAAAGAATAACAGAATTGGAAGGGACCTTGGAGGTCATATAGCCCCACCCCCTGCTCAAGCAGGAGACCCTGTACCATTTCAGACAAGTGGCTGTCCAGTTTCTTCTTGAAAACCTCCAGTGATGGAGCACCCACAACTTCTGAAGGCAAGCTGTTTCACTGATTAATTGTTCTCTCTGTTAGGAAGTTTCTCCTTAGTTCTAGATTGCTTCTCTCCTTGACTAGCTTCCATTCATTGTTTCTTGCCTTGCCTTCTAGTGCTTCTGCTATGAGTGACTCAATAACTTCTAGAGCAGGGCTTTTCAACCGGTGGTACGGGTACCATCTGTGGTACTTTGCCATGTGGCAGGTGGTACGCGACTGCTAGCCAAGTGTAGCAGGGGAGGGGAATGAGCCTAAGCAACCCAAGCCTGAGGGAGAGACAGCTGCAGCTGCATGACTGTCTGGGCTCATCAGAAGCCCCAGGAGCCAGTAAGGCTCCAACTGATTGGCGCTTCCAGAAGCAGCTTGGAGCTGGAGGTGAACTGAAGAAAAAGGAGGAGGAGGAGAGGAGAGGCTATAAAAGGAGGTGGTTTAGGTCAGGGAAGGGGGAAAAAAGACAACAGGAAAGGTTTAATCCCTTTAAATAAATGAAATTAGTTTTACCCCCTTTAATTGAGTCTGTCTACTCTATGGCTTTTATAAAGTTTTCTTTGAAGGTAAAGAAGCTTAATTTAAAACTAAAGCTTTTTGCAATTGCCAGAGCCTTTCAGTCTAGGATTGCAATATTGTGACACTGAGGCAGCTTAAAGAGATAAAAAAACGGAGGCTTATTTTGTGAGCCTTTCTTGCTTTGCACTTGATTCCTGCGTCTTTAAGGGTACAGGGAAGGGATTTGGGGGGAGTGCATTCTTACTACACTGTGGAAAATGCTCAGAAGGAGAGAGGAAGAAGGGTCAACCAGCTAGCTCAGGAGTCTACAAACTTAGCAACTTTAAGACCTGTGGACTTCAACTCCCAGAATTCTTCAACCAGCCATGAGGGCTGAGGAATTCTGGGAGTTGAAGTCCACAAGTCTTAAAAGTGCCAAGTTTGAAGACCCCTGAACTAGCTGGTAGTGGTGCATATTAATACACATGGATAAATTCATCATACATTTGTCAGTGCAAAGAGAAAGTGATTCAGCAAAGGAACAGCCACCAAAGAAATTAAAACTGGCACTTTTTCCCTTCTTTTCTACAGTTTGTAATATTTTATTAGATTATAGAATAAAATACAAAAATACAAAAGCAAATAGTAGGACACAGTGGGGAGGAAAAAGGGGGGAAAAGTGAGGGGGAGAAGGGAAAAAGAACAGACTTCTTCTGTTGCAGTAGAGAAGGAAGCATTAACATTGAACCTCAACTTTTTACTTTTCCATAATATTATAAACTAGCCATTTCCAATACAAGAAATGAATCTAATCAGTAAAACCCAAAATCCCCCCCCTTTTTTTTAGTCATCAGGTTTTTGACACTTGCTAAGCACTGGTGGTACTCAAATATTGTCATGTCCTAAAAGTGGTACAATCTGTGAAAAGGTTGAAAAGCCCTGTTCTAGAGGACTAGAGTTTGTGTGCTCTTGGTAGGAGTGATGATATCCAGGAACGTATGTCCTGTTGAAGGACTGAGATCACAAGTCACAGCAAATTCCAGACTCATGATTTTCCAGATCTTTGCCTTTTTCCTGAGACTTTGATAGCAAAAAATCTAAATGGTGATGCATCTGTACTCTAAGAACTGAATGTCACTCTATTTATTTCAAAATATGATTCTGTTTCATGATTGTGCATGCTACCGTTAGATGTCCTCCAACTAGAACAGTTTACAGGATTATTTTAGTTGAATGTTTTAGTGATTTAAAAAGGTGATCTCTTTTTATAGAAATATATTTGACTGGTAGGTGTGTGTTTAAATAGGAGTTGATTGTTTTGAGCAGAATAAATATTTTATTAAAATTTAAATTCTGCAGTCAAGTTTGGAGATATTTTTTTAAAGCATTTGAAAGTCACCAAAACCACCTCCCTTTCATATCTGATCTGATCAAACTGGTTTTCCAGGCTTTTGAACTGCTACAAAAACCTACAAAACCCATTTGACTGGTAATACCCATATAATTAGCATACACAATGCAATAAGTAAGAATGATATCAGATTACCTTTTATTTTGGGGGGAAGGGAGAAATGTTCTGTCTCCATTCAAAAACTTCACATATGGGGGACTTCCAGTGAGCACATGGTGAGCTAGATGTCCCTGAAGAAGTGGGGAAGACATGGTAGAAGAGAGAGGGAGCTGGAAGATGGATCCTCGCCTGCTAAATCTCTGGAGAAAAGAGAGATTGTGAGATTGCCTTCATGTATTCCTTGTGAATAGACTTCAGAAACCCAAGTTTTTGCTGTTGGTTAGTGAGCCAACAAGTGACTGGGAGCCTAGGGATTTCAATTAAGCTCACAGACATAACTCAGCCCATATAAAGTTGAACCTTCTTTCTTAATAGTTTTTGGAATTACTTGTTTACTGCTTTTGAAATTTTAAGCACCTTTGGAAAGGTGAGTTTTAGGCTTCACTGGCTGAGTTTCCTTCAATCCTTAGCAAAAAATGTTTTAAATGTGAGTTTAAGGATTTAGAAAAAATATATTTTGGGGGGAACCAATGGCAAAAGAGTGATTACAGTGCTGTTTCTGGAGAGTTATAAATGGGCTATGAGTCTAGAATAGATTTGAAATGAGATTTTGAAAATGATTATAAGAATCCTGCCCATGGACTTACCCAAGAGTCAAATTTTTAGCTTTATAACTTGTCAATATGATAGAGAAGTTTTGCTCTTAGCTAGGCGCTGGGAGAAGCTCACATGCCGTATCTTGGCATGCTATCGGAAGTTGGCCTTCCTGCATACATGTATGCGGGAGGATTTACCACCCAAATCGTTAAGGAGGCTTGTATTGGACTCAGTGGAATGCCAACAGCACGAACAGCTGGGTCCAATAACACGTTCTAGAAGCCGGATACAGGCTGCTAACATCGTATAAAGGCTCTTTCCCAGTGACTACTTTTAAAGCCCTGATGATGTTGGGTGATCCCAACGAAAGCTCGGCTCATTAAATTTTTTACTACTTTCTTCTTGGTGATTGGTATTTATTAGTTTTATTATGGACTTACCCAAGAGTCGAATTTTTAGCTTTATAATTTGTCAATATCTATATTATATAGATGTCACACCTGTGACAGGTAAAAACATGCTTTTTGTGAAAAACAGCGCCATCTGTTGGACGTAAAAGCAACATACGCTATGATTTCAGACAATCTCTATATCTGCACAGACAATGGAACGACAAAAAATGTTGTATACCCACAAGCATTGTGAAATTAAACATATTACAAACGTGGGCTTTCTCTTTTCTTTCTTTTCCATTTAACCAGACTAAGCCACAGCAACTCGTGGCCGGGAACAGCTAGTAAGAAATAGAAATGGAAACTGCTTCATCAGTTTTTGAAGCTAAATAGTACTTATTTGGCCCATAAACCAAAAGTTTCTTTTGAGAAATGAACAAGATGTCTATAAGACTGCTAAATTTTGAGCTGGAACACAGTGTTTTACATGTAATCCTCAACTTACAACAGTTTGTTTAGTGAATGTTCAAAGTTACAACAGCACTGAAAAATGTGACTTATGACCATTTTTCAGAGTTACAACCTTTGTAGCGTCCCCAGAATCATGTGATCAAAATTCAGATGCTTGGCAACTGGTTCATATTTATTACCATTGCTGTGTCCCAAGGTCATGTGATCCCTTTTTACAACCTTCTGACGAGCAAAGTCAATGGGGAAGCCAGATTCACTTAACAACCAGGTTACTAATTTATCAACTGCAGTTATTCACTTAACAACTGTGGCAAGAAAAGCCGTTAAATGGGGCAAAACTCACTTAACAAATGTCTCACTTAACAACAGAAAATTTGGGCTCAGTTGTGCTCGTAAGACGAGGATTTCCTGTATTTTAAAGACTGGGAAGATCCTTTTGTGAAACTGTTTCTCTCTTTGGCTTTTTTTAGGATAGACCTGAAATTGTGTGTGGTGCTTTTCTACTCTGCAATCAGCCACACAGTCCTGACAGAGCACTGAAGTTTCAGAACCAACTAAAATCAGAAGAATGGCCTGAAAAAACAGAGTTTCGTGACATGCTGTCTCCCTTCATAGCTAATGTGCCTCTTCTCTTCAGTCCTCAAGATAAACGCCAAACAGAGCCTTGGGTGAGGAAACAGCTGCGATGATTGGTCCCTCCCAATCAAACACTCAACCAGAACAGGACAGAAAGATCTCAGAGAAACGGGGGGGGGGGGCTTTCCATTCTAGCTTAAGAGGCTTGGGATATCTGAACCAATCTTCATTTGACTTCTAAGGGCTGGCTCCTTCAGATAAAGTTCTCTGAGACTCTTATATAAAGGTGAAAAGGCTTCAACTCAACATCCTCTCGTATCATCTGTCTCATCTCCAAAATGAGTAAAGATGCAAGCACAAGCTATTTGCAGGAATTAGTTTCCCTTAGCCTGGTGCCAGCCAGATAAAATGGGCAATTCCTATGGTAGCTGAGAATTTGGGAAAGTATCAGATTAGAAATTATTCATGTCTATTTATTTCTTGTGGGAGCTTCAGCAGTCCACATAGATGGATTGGAGGCAGTATTTTGGGATCACCAAATGCCTGTGAGGGGTGTAGCTAACACTCAAGGTTGATATTATTTCTACCGTCTGGTAAAATTATTCATCCCAACTCAACTGTGTTTCTGGAGGTGTTAATGTAAACCCTTTCCACAGAAACCTCCTTTATGAGATAAGCTTTGGCCACACAAATTAGTAGTTATGTTAATCCTGTGTTCTCCTCTGTTATCTTTAGTTCTGGCAGAGTAATGTAGATCCCTGTCATGAATGCAAGATGGTGGCTATAGAAATACACGAAATCTTGAAGAACAGCCCCTTCCTTATCCAGACTTTGGAGGATTATGCCAAGCAGCAGTGTGAAGGTTTGGGGACCCATATGGCAGATGAGGTAATTCACTTAGCATTTCCCTTAACAGAGGAAACATACCTTGGTAACAATGGATGAGGAGCATCTCAATGAGGAGCCAGAATGGAATTAACTGAGCTGCTCACAAATAATTTATTGATTATTATCGCATGGGTTAATTTTTGAGTATTATTCAAGTTGGTCTTTTTTTGTTAATTTCTATAGTGCAAGAAATATGTCCCTGAATACGCACATGCTTTTGTGCAATTCCTCATGTCTCTCTTGGTAAGTTGATTGCATCTTCGTGTCTTTTGCGAGCAAAAATGCATGGTTAAGGTCCAACTTATTCTGGACATTAATTTTATCCTAGATTACAATTAAAAATATAAAAATGAATGCAAATAAAAGAAAAAGAAAAAAAACACAAATCTTAATTGAATATCTATGTAAATATGCTTTTTCAGCCCTTGCTGCACATGTAACAAAGAAGAATAACAGTTTAAAATGTGTTGTCCTGCAAAGAAATCCCTACCAGTGCATAAGATTCCAAGACTATAGACTTACTTAAATAAAAATAAGTAGAAAACAATTTCATTGCACTTAAAATCCTTGCCCTTTGTTCAATAAGTGTAGCCCAGGGAAACTGCATGGAAATGGCACTTAAGTATGGATGAATTCAGTGGTGGAATTCAAATATTTGAACAACTGGTTCTATTATGTGATGCAGACATGGCATCAACGCACTTCCGGTGGGCCGTTCTAGGCCTGGGAGGCCTCTTCCAGGACTCCGATGTCTAGAACGGACTTCTGAAAGTGGTATCCATGCACTTCCAGTGGGCTGTTCTAGGCCTGGGAGGCCTTCGAGGCCTAGACTGGACTTCCAAAAGCCAGCCGGTTCTCTGAATTCAGGTAAATTTAGCTACCGGTTCTCCTGAACTGGTGCGAACCGGCTGATGAATTTCACTGGATGAATTTCAGAGCCCCATACATTTGATTATAATTGCTAAAATGTATTAAGAGTATATAATCCAACATCCTGCCTAGCTCTTACAATCATTGTGTTCAAGACATGATCACCCATCTTAAGATGTATAATTTTTGTGGTCACTACTAATTAGCAATGTTTGAATAACCTACTTCCAATTATCCTGGATTTTGCCATTTCCTCTTCCCATTGGCAGGATTTAAGTAAACCACAGGGAGAACAAGAACACTACACTAAAATTAAACTCAATAGGAAGCGAACAGCTTCTCAAAAAAATGAACCTAAAGAAGAAAACCGATCTATCCAAATTGAACACAGTAGAGAACAAACAGCTTCCATAAAAAACAACACTATATATGGACCTAAAGAGGAAGACTGATGGAAACACGTCACTTTTAGAAGAAAACAATAACCCAGAGCAAAGCCCTTACTATCTACCCTAGCCTAGTCCATTCCAATGAAGTCCCTTGGGAACTGAATAATCGCTTTCATAACCTCCCCCTGGAAGAAAGACACCTATAAAAGAGCAGTCATCAATAGTTTCTAAAAAAGAGGCAAAACCTAGCATTCCTATGACAGAAAGAAAAGTATCCCCGATTTCCCTTGCGAAAAAAAGGCGAGTATTGATGATAGGAGATTCAATTCTTAGGGGAACAGAAACTTTAGTCTGCATGCCAGATAGTCAAATTAGGCAGATATGTTATCTGGACAGTCACTTGTCTATAATGGTATAGGTCTCTTGCTTGAGCAGGGAGTTGGACTAGAACAGTGGTCCTCAACCTTGGCAACTTTCCCAGAATTCTGGGAGTTGAAGTCTACAAGTCTTAAAGTTGCCAAGATTGAGGACCCCTTGACTAGAAGACCTCCAAAGTCCCTTCCAGTTCTATTCTGATTGATTGAACTTTTAACCGAAATGACACAACCAAGATTGCTACCTATATTTGAGTGCTACAAGAGGAAAACTAATGCAAGAATCATTGAAGTTAAAATACATAGATCCAGAGGTTTAAGGAACTGGCTGCTGAACAATAGAATGTACATATGGTATTTGAAAAATAAGGCACAGCAAAGCTTTGGATAGGTGAGTAATCATTTGGGATTACTTTACCAATATCACAACATTCAGTTTTGTATCTTCCTTATCACGTTTAACTATCTAGAAAAGTGGCATTAAGACTTCTCTCTATGAACCTGAAGTCTTTATCACTGTGCTTCTAGTAGTTCACATTATAAATAATGAGAACATCATTAAAAATGACTGAAGATTGATTTTGATAGGTTGTTTAATCACAGCAATGTAATTTTTAAATCAGGGGTCTTCAAACTCGGCCCTTTTATAATTCATGGACTTCAACTCCCAGAATTCCTCAGCCAGCGTGCTTAGCTGAGGAATTCTGGGAGTTGAAGTTCATGAGGCATAAAAGGGCCGAGTTTGAAGACCCCTGTTTTAAATGAATAACAAGATAGGCTGGTTTGAGGTGGGAGATAAGTAGGCCAAATTTGGTTCAGTGAACTGTTATTCTGAAGCAGTTGCATAAGAGGACTAGTCAAAGAGGTCTAATTTCTGAGTCAAAAGGCAAGGCATTGCCCATTTCATCACCCCACTTGTAACCAGTGGTGGGATTCAGTTGGTTCACACCGGTTCGGAAGAAACGGTAGCTAAATTTACCTGAATTTGGAGAATCAGCTGGCTTCTGGAGGCCTCCCAGGCCTAGAATGGCCCACAGGAAATGCATGGATACCACTCACAGAAGTCCATTCTAGGCATTGGAGGCCTGGAAGAGGTCTCCCAGGCCTAGAATGGCCTGCCAGAAGTGCATTGATGCCACTTCCGGAAGTCTGTTCTAGGCATTGGAGGCCTGGAGGAGGCCTCCCAGGCCTAGAACGGCCCACCGGAAGTGCATGATGCCCAGGCCTGCATTACATAATAAACTGGTTCTTCATGTATTTGAATTCCATTACTGCGTGTAACAAATGATGGAATTGTGATTAAATCTCATTTCAAAAGTGGTGGAGGCATACCACAGTCTATTTTATCTGTAGACCATCAGGGTGATGTCCTGAAGCAAATGCTCAGAAAGTAGAAGACCAGATTAGGGATAATTTTGCTCAGCAGATGCAACCCTCTCCTCCTGAAGGACAACCACTGCTATGCCTCACATTGCCTCATGCTTGGCTGGGCTCAGCTTCATTGTGATCAAACCCTACACCATTATGATGCCAATGTGATCCTTCACAGTAGATGAAGGCAATTTGTATCTAAGGGAGGGTTGCAGTCTCTGATAATCTCAGCTTTGTTTTCTAACACATTCTTTTAATTTTACATTCTGGTGGCAGAACATTAAAAGAACCTGAGAGAATAATCTGATGGAGTAAGGAAGATACCTATTTATTATATGGCATTTTTGCTCAGTTAGTAGAATTTAAGTTTTGAATAATTGTCTTATTATATTTTCTTTTCTTTTCTCCTCACTCCTATTTGTCTGACCATAGGATACGGTATGTATGCTTTTCCACTTCAAACTTTTTCATGTTGAGCATTTTTGTGTTAAGCAATGGCAAACAATATTGTCTGACTGAAAAGAGCTTGGGGTTTGGGGGAAAATAGAATACAGTAGACAATACTTCCTCCTTGCAGTTCCCAAAATGAAGGTAAAAAAGGAAGCCTTCACAAGCTTTGTATGTCAACAGTCTGAAATTGGAGCAGTTTACTGAAAAAAAAATTGAAGACCCAAAGTTATTAAAAAAGAAATAGGTTTATATTCTCATGACACCAGAGTTAACCTACTGAATGGTGAGCTTACCTTTCCTAGAATCAGGGATTCTGGATTCTCTTACCTCCCAGTTACTTAATAGCTCCAAAAAGCTTTGCATGGTTTAATTTTTATTGTTTTAAGAAAAACTGACCACAGGTCAACCTCTTCCTGTCAGTACAATTTCAGCAGGCCGGAAGAATCTACCAATAAGTGTGGTCATGTGACATATGTGAATGAAGCCAAGAACTTCAGGTCTTTCCTCTGTTTTTATTTTTCCTCCCTTCAGCAAGTTCTAGAGTTTTAAAATTTTTACTTTGTACAACTTATTGAAGCCAATCACCTAAACCCTGTAAAATATAGTTAGCCTTGATTAGGATTGCTAATTATGACTTCAACCTATTTAGTTAATTTGGAATTCAGTTCCTTGTACAAGCCCACATGGTGATCCCCACGTTATGTGAATCAAGTCTATGTTTTTCTGATATCACAGAATCATAGATTATAAGATTGCAAGAGATCCTTATCATCTTATATCTCTGTCTTCCCAGTGCAGGAATCCAGTAATATTGCTAACTTAACAGATGGTCATCCAGCATTTGTTTAAACACCTCCAGTGAAGGTTTATGCTAAAGTTTTTGTAGTCAATGAAATGACAGGAAATTTTTGTTAGAAGGAACACTGACAGTCTTGGGTCTGTAGGCTGTGATAATAGGGGGTTTGGGGTTGCAAAATCTTGTCTCAGTTTCAGTTGGAATTCATGCCACTTTAAGGAGACTATTCCCTACATCAAAGGAGTAATATGTGGGACCTTTGCAGCTTTCTATCTCTTTAAAGATGCATGTAAAAATGCATATATGCTAATTTCATACTGTCATGTCTTAATGTCTGAGTATCACAACCAAGTACCAAAAATAGCAAACAAAACATCCTGATATGGTTAGTATGCAATGCCATGGCCTTCATAAAAATGAAACATTAGCTTCTAATGGAATATTTTATTCTTCTAGCCACCAATGGGAATTTGCGGTAAAATTGGATTCTGTGACATTACAAAATCAGAGCCTTTTCATCCTTTGAAGGCAATGGACTACTTTTCAGACCTGTATGGAGCAGTAGTTAAGGTACATAAACATATATACAGACACATATAAAGGCACTGTCTGCAGAAGGACAGAAGCTAATAACATTGTCCAAACAAGCCACTGGAGAATGGCTGAGATTTGCTCAAAACCAAAACAAGTAGAATGTGAAATGTATCCTTGGGTAAAATTGAGAAGGCATTTCATGGGGAACAAAGTTAACCTTACGGTAAGAGCATAGAAGAAGAAACAGCTAAGAGGTTCAATAGGAAATCAGGAAAAGAAAAATCTCTGAGACCTAAGGTGAAGAGCTGAAAAATGCAGATGACCACTAAATGGCAGGGGGGAAAAAATACAGAAACTGACTCTTTGTTTCTATCTGGGGGTTGTCCAAATTTGTGCAGCCCACATATGGTAGGTAGCATATGTCTTAACAATGGCTTCCACAAAAGACATCTTTAGCCATTAATCACTTCCACTGATGCTGCCCTAAGCAGGTGACAACTGGAAAGAGTCTAGAAAATTTAAGAATCATAATGTAACTACCATTTAAGGATCATTAGCAAAGGAGAATTAATTGTAATTCATTCAAACAATGAAATTTTCTCAAATTATTGTAGTTGAGAAGAAAGCCTGGTCACTTCTTTCTGTATCGATTGCAGAGATCATCTTAACCAAGAGACAATTAATATTCTCACTGCAATCAGATTTGACAATGTAACGATGTTATATATTTTTTACTTTTGCTTAACCCTAAAAAATACTGTTTTATTACATTTGTTTTGTTTAATCTCTCTCTCTCTCTCTCTCTCAACTCCATTATGTAGACAATTTCAGATGAAGATAAACCTCATTTGGTATGTGATATGTGCAAGAAAGTTGTACAGGTGGCAGAGAACTTGGTGGAGAACAATAACACAGAAGTAAGAAACACTGAATTAGTCTGTTATTATGTTGCGGGAAATGGTGATAGAGGAGAATTTCTTGAAGGCATCTTCTATACACTGAATTAATTTTTTTTTTTTTATTGAAATTTTTCAAAAATTTTACAAATAAACATCCCCCCCCCTCCCAAACCACCCCACCCTCCCCCCCCGACTTCCCAGAACTGAATATAGGATTATTTAACAAATTTTAAAAAATAACGTTTACAATTTATAAAGTAATTAATAAAAATAATAAAGGTCATAATAATAATATATATAATAATATATGTAATAATAATATGCATAACATAAACTTTAAAATGAATAATATATACTAAAAAAGAAAGAAAAAAAAGGGAAAAGAAAAGAGAGAGAGAAAGAAAAAAGAAAAAAGTAGACGAAAAATAGAACATATATATAAAAAAAATATATATAAGTAATAATACGTAAAGAAAAAAGGAAGAAAGAAAGAAGGAAAAAACAATCATTACAAATTATAAAAAAGCTAAATGGTATTTTTCCATATCCAAATTATATTGTATGAAATTTATCCATTTTTCCCATACTGCAAAGAATTTCTCTTGAGATTGCTCCTTTAAAAAAGCCGAAATCTTTGCCATTTCTGCCAGATACGAAACTTTGTGAAACCACTCTTGCAAAGTAGGCAAGGATTCCTTCTTCCAATATTGCCCTATTAACAGCCTAGCGGCTGTAATCAAATTTAACATCAATATAACCTCCTTAGCATCACAATCAGTAACAATACCTAGTAAAAATAATTGCGGAGTAAATTTTACCCTCCGTTTAAAAATTCTTTGGATATTCCACCATATCTTAATCCAAAAAGCTTTTATATGCTTACACGTCCACCAAGTATGATAATAAGTAGCATCCAAATGTCCACATCTCCAGCATTTCGGCTGCAGATTAGGGTACATAATGGACATTTTCTTTGGATCAAGGTGCCATCTATAAAACATCTTATAAAAATTCTCTCTTAAATTTTGCGCTTGTGTGAATTTAACATTTCTTATCCAAATAAGTTCCCAGGTATCCATTGAAATCGTTTCACCAATATTCTGTGCCCATTTAATCATACAATCTTTAACTAATTCAGGTTCTGAGTCCAATTCCACTAAAACCCCATAAACTCTCTTAATATGGGTTGGCCTTTGATCTCTTACTTGTTTTAAAAGAGCTTCATCTTCTCTAAGCCAGCCCATTTTACAATCCATCTTCCATCTGTCCACTATTTGTCTGTATTGGAACCATGAATAAGTTAAATTTTCATGCGTTAATTCTTCCAAAGATTTTAACTGCCAATCTTGGCCATCCCATCTAAGTAACTGTGCATAAGAGACCATATCCATATTAACCCCTTTCCTTATACCTTCTATGGCATGCCGAGGTATAGCCCATAATGGTATTTTGAAGTCACTTTTATAATACTTTCTCCACACTCTAAGCAAAGAGATTCTTATAATATGAGACTTAAAAACCCAATCCACTTTTTTATTAAATATTAAATAGGCATGCCATCCAAAAAGTAAGTCCCAACCTTCCAAATGAAGTATTTCTATATTTGTTAAATTCACCCAGTCGCTGATCAATGTTAATACTACAGCATCATAATACAATTTCATATTTGGTACCTTGAGTCCTCCTCTCTCACGAAAATCTTGCATTATTTTAAGTTTCACCCTTGGTTTTTTCCCTGCCCAAACAAATTTATTAATACCTTTTTGCCATTCATCTAAATTACGTTCATTCTTTAAAATAGGTAACATTTGAAACAAAAAAATAAACTTTGGCAGGACATTCATTTTGATAACTGCAATTCTACCCATAAGGGATAACTGTAGATTGTTCCAGTTTTTTAAATCCTTCTGTACCTCCATCCACAGCTTTTCATAATTATTTTTATACAGTTTTGCATTAGAAGCAGATAATGTGACCCCCAAATATTTTACCTTATCAACAATTTCAAAATCTGTTAAGTTAACTAAAACCTGTTTATCACCATTAGTCATATTTTTAGCTAATATTTTGGTCTTATTATTATTAATTTTAAAACCAGAAACACATCCATATTGTTGAATCAATTGTAATAATTTTACCACCGAACAGGTAGGTTGAGACAGAGTAACAACCAAGTCATCTGCAAAGGCTCTTAATTTATATTCTTTTTTATTAATTTCTATTCCTTTTATTTCTTGAGACTCCCGAATTTTAATCAACAAAATTTCCAATGTTAAAACAAACAATAACGGAGATAACGGGCATCCCTGTCTTGTTCCTTTTTCTATTACAAAAGCCTCTGACAAACCCCCATTTACAATAAGTTGAGCAGTCTGTTTTTGATATATATTAGATAATACTTGTAATATATTTTGTCCAAAATTCATCTCCTTAATTAAACATAACATAAACTGCCAATTCACTTGGTCAAAGGCTTTTTCAGCATCCAAAAATATCAGGCCTGCAGAGACTTGGTTATTCTTTTCTAGATACTCTAATAAGTTAATAATTTGTCTAACATTATTTTTCATATACCTTCCAGTTATAAAACCCGATTGATCCTTATGTATAAACTGCTGCAAGATCCCCATAAACCTATTAGCTAAAATTTTTGCAAAGATTTTATAATCCACGTTTAAAAGAGATATAGGCCTGTAATTTTTAGGCAATGTAAGATCTTGATTATCTTTTGGAATCAATGATATAAATGCATTACGCCAAGATGGAGGGATCTCTAAACCCTGTAATAAGTTATTAAACAATTCACACAATGGTTGAGTCATCTCTTCTACTAAAGTTTTGTAATAGATAGATGTCAACCCATCCGTACCCGGCGCTTTGCCCAATTTCAATTGTTTAATAGCTGTAACAATTTCTTCTTTAGTAATTAAGCCATTAATCTCTTTTTCCTGATCTTCTGTTAATTTAGGAAAGTTAACTTTACCTAAATAATTGTTTATATCTGTAGTTTGAATATTGGCACTCTTATATAATTTTTGATAGTATTCTAAAAAGGATTTCTTAATCAATTCTTTCTGATAAACCAATTTACCATTATAATTTATTTTATCTATATTCCTCTGTTTCTGTTTCTTTCTTAACTGATAAGCCAGCCATCTCCCTGGTTTATTAGCATTACAAAATATATTTTGTTTCATAAATAATAAATTGGTTGCAGCTTGATCAGCCATCAACATGTTAAATTGTGTTTTTAACAATTTTAAAGCTCCTTTCACCTTTTCGTCTAAAGGATTTGAAATTAAAAGTTTCTCTTTTAATTTAATCTCCTCTTCTAAATCTTTACGTTTCTGAGTCTGTTTCTGTCTATGCAAGTTATTCATTTTTATCAAGATACCACGCATAAAAGCTTTACTTGCATCCCACACCATTGACATTGATGTTCCCTTATTCATATTTAAAGCAAAATATTCCTTTAAACATTCCTTTAATTTATGAACATTTTTTTCTTGTTTGAATAAATTCTCATTCACCCTCCAGGATCTCCTGTCTTCTTTCTCAGCAAACAGTTCCATCCATACTGGACTATGGTCAGACAATGTCCTAGAAAAAATTTTTACATTCTTCACCCTGTTGTATAAGTCTGTTGTAATCAAAAAGAAATCAATTCTTGAAAAAGATTGGTGTCTATCTGAGAAGAAGGTAAAGTCCCTTTCTTCTTGATTACGTTCACGCCAATAATCCCTCAATTCCCAATCTTCTTTCATGTCAAAGAAGGCTTTAGGTAGTTTAGCCTGTTTAAAAAAGGTAGAAGAGCCTTTTTTGTCCTTTTGTATGTCTAAGACACCATTCCAGTCTCCCATTAAAATCACAGATCTATAGTCCAACAAAGTTATTTTCTGATGTAACAACCTATAGAATTGCTCCTGTTGCTGGTTTGGTGCATACAACCCCACAATAAGAATTTTCTTGCCATATAAACCAAGTTCAAGCATAACATATCTTCCATGAGGATCTGATTCTAACAGGGTAGCAGATAAGTTCTGTTTAACATAAATTACCACACCCCCTTTTTTCCCAGGGGCGGGAGATACAAAATGAGATCCCAAACGAGGATTGTTTAAGTATTTTTGGTCTTTAGATGTAATATGAGTTTCTTGCAAACAAATAACATCATTGTTGTGTTGTTTCAAATAATGGTAGATTTTTTTTCTCTTTTGAGGAATATTTAATCCATTAACATTCCAGGTCAGGAGCTTTGCCATCTCCCTTGGCCTTAAGCCTGGAGAAGATCCCCTCAAATTCTGCTACTGAAGAATATGTTGCAGAGCTTTTGGGTCTTGCTCCTCCCACCGGCACTGAAACAATTTGCTGAGTAGATTCTTTGATTTCTTTTTCTTTTTTCTGTTGTTCTTTTTCTTTACGTTTGTGTGCTGCACGGGTCATTCTCTGTTCTTTAACCTCTACTTGAGACATCCATACCACCTGTCCAGCAGTCATCGCACCTGTATCTTCAGATTTCTGTTCCATCTCTTTATCACTCAGGACTTTGTGCATCATGGGCAAGGGTGAGCCTGCACCCAGGACCGTTTTATAAAATTCCTTAGCTTTAGCAACTGTATTAAGTCTATAACGTGTCCCCGCATGGCTCAAAACAATGCCCATCGGAATCTCCCATCTAAATGGCATTTGTCTTGCTTTAAGTTCATTTGCTAGAAAAGCAAAATCTTTTCTGCTTCTTAAAATTTTAGGTGGAATTTCCTTTAAAATAATAATATCTTGAGCAGCAATCTGGAATCTTTTATTGTAAAAAGTTTGCAGAATCTGATTTCGCAAGGACTTCTTAGCAAAATATATCACCACATCTCTAGGCAGATTCCTCTGTTTTGCAATCCAAGAATTAACTCTATAAATTCTTTCCACTTCCCCACGTAACTCATCTTTGTCTATATTCAAAATAACAGCCAAATCATTAATCACCATTTCCATCAGATCTTGAGTTTTATCTTCTTTCAGGCCCCTTATTCTCAAAGCATATTCCATCTGTCTATACTGGAACATAAGAATATCATCTTGTGAAGTTTCCACTTTTTTCTCCATATCTTGGAATTTATAGTCCAAAAGTTCTACTGTTTCTTCAATTTCCTCCACTCTAGAGTCCAGCTTCACAACCACTGAGGCCACTCCAGATAAAGCTAGAAGTATATCATCCCTCAATATAGTATTATTCTGTTCTAAAAGCTCCTTCATCTCTTTCTTCATTTCTTCCTTGCTCTCAGATTTATTCTGTTCCAAAAGTTGCTTCATTTCCTCCCTAAACTGTGACACAGCACTTACCATTATTTCTTTAATGTCTTGTGCTGATGTGCCAGATGGGGGAGGTGAGGGTGGAGTAGTTTTAGGTTGCTGCACTGAGGGTATTATTTTAAGTTGTTGTTGCACAGTAGAGGTAGCAGGAGAAGAAGTTACCTTAGGAGCTGTAGTAGCTGGTTGTCGTTTTGAAGCCATTTCAATTTATCTTTCTTTCTTCATAAAAATACCAATAAAAAATAAATAGTCCAAAAGTTAAAAATAAGGTAAAATAGGATAAAATGGAATCAATTTAAAAGCTCCCAAAAGATAAAAAAAAACTTAAAAAGGAAAGCAGTATTAAACAACAGTTCAGCCAGTCCGTCTTTCAAAAGAAAAAAAAACTTTCAAAACGCCATTTTACTTTCACTCTCACTTTTCCGCCCGGAAAAAAAAAAAAAAAAGGGAAAGCTCAAAAAATAAGAAAAAATCAACACATGCTAAATAAACTAAATAAACTAAAAAAAATAAAATAAAACTAAACTATAAATAAAATCCTTTAAACAGTTCTGTCCGGTTTAAGATTACTCACAGTTACTTTAGATACGGAGATGGTAGCGGCGTTTCGCTTTGTTTCCAAAGAAACAAAGACAGCTGAGAGGCGGAGAAGGCAATGAACTCCGAGGGAGCACTCTTTCTACCCCCGTAAAATAAAAATCCAGGGAGGGTTAAGAGGTTCTACCTCTATTCATGCGATCTCTACCCCTTCTCTTCGCCCGGGAAGGGGATTGCGAGCCGCGGGCCAGCTGATGAACGCTGTGCTCCGCGGATCTGACACCATCTCAGGAGGACAGCTACAAAGTAGCCGCCATTTCCACCGCTTTAACCACCGGAAGTCTACACTGAATTAATTTTCAAAGCCTTCATCTCTGAAATTATGAGAAGAAATGAAGACAAAAGCATGGAGTTTCTTGATTTCGAGCAACCAAATCAACATTTGATTTTTGTTTCTATGAGGCTTTCCATTTAGTCCAATCATAATGTGGATTCAGGCTGGCTGGATTCAAATTATTTCAGATTTAGGGAAGGTGCAGAACATTTGAAAAGATAACCAGAGAAGAGAGAACTTAAAAAAAAAAATACTCTTATATTTCCTGCCTCTGTCACCTTTCCCTCTGCTATTCAAGAATGACTAAAACGGTCTTCACCTCTGAACATTATTTCAGCAAATTAACTTCACTTCTTTCATTTCTGCTGTTACTGGAAGAAAGAAGTACAAATAATCCTTGATTTATGACCTTAATTGAGGTCAGAAATATAGTTGTAAGTCATGCTGGTCATTAAGCAAGTCATCATGTGCCTGACTCAATTTTACAATATTTTTGTAGTGGTCATTAAGTGAATCACCATGATTTTTATTTTATTTTATTTAAGAAAATTTATATGGTTGTCCACTCATTCTGTGATTCATTAAGCTTAATCCATAGTCATTAAGTGAGCCCATTGTCCACAATGGTTTTTTTTTGACAGAAACTAGAAATAAATACCAGTTTCCAGAAAAAAAAAACATTTTGACCACAGATATTACAAATTACCATAAATGCAGGCCAGTTGCCATGTGACCAGAATGTGATCACATGACCATAGGAGAATGACCATTGGAAATTTGAATCCAAGTTGTAAGCACCTTTTTTGGGGGTCTGTTGTAAGCTGAGGACTACATGTAACGGCTCTCTTCTCCCTCATTTGCACTCTCTGCAGATTAGATGCTTGATTTCTTTTTAATCTATTTTTTTAATCTTTCTATATTTCAGGAACAAATAGTCCATCAGATGGAGAATGTTTGTTACATGTTGCCTCATGAAGTCGTTCCTCAGTGCAGGGACTTTGTGAATTCTTATGGAATGGCAGTTCTCACTATGCTATTGGAGGCTACTAAACCTGAATCCGTGTGCATTATGTTCAAATTTTGCCCAGAAGATGTATCTTTAAGCACCAGTAGGTTTTTGTTTGTTCTACATCTTCTGCCTTCATGATGGGAATGAAATTCATTTTATTGGTCTTAACTTTGTATTTATAGCACATATCTAACTTCCACAAAATCCAATCTCAGAAAGATTGGATCATGTTCCTACATGGATGGGAGTTTATAAATGCAGGTTTTTTTGGCAAGGTTTTTCAGAAGTGGTTTGCCATTGCCTGCTTCTTAGGACTGAGAGAAAGTGATTGGCCCAAGGTCACCCAGCTGGCTTTATGCCTAAACTGGGACTAGAACTCTTGGTCTCCTGGTTTCTAGCCTGATGCCTTAACTGGCTCTCTCAGTAGATTAAGAAGCTGAAACAACAACAACCTGGAAGTAGGCATTTCATTATTGTTGCCAAATATGCAGACATACCCACGAAGTCTCCAAGAATCAAAGTTGACTTGAAGGCGATTTCATCTTTCTGATAGACTTTTCGCGCTAAACAGACTCCCAGAGAAGCATTTGAAGATTAATAATCATTATCCGCAAACTCAATGCTCCTAACTATTCAGATCTCTCTGAAGGGGATATCCCATTTATGAATCACTTTTTCCTGAATGCTTGGCTGCTGCCTATTATTTGTCTTTAAACCAAGGATGAGCAACTCAGGAGTTTCATGTGCCCCCCTGCCCTCTCCCCATCCCACTTCATTTTCTGCTCATAAGCAGTTCTAGATTGTGTTTCTGAAATTGGGTGGCAAAGTGACCCAATTCCTGAAAAACAGATTTTTGTCCTTTTTTAAAAACAAAATATAGGAAATAGAATTGAAAAATATTCAAAATGAGTCTAAACAGCAAAACCACACCCCAGGTTATAGGTTTCTGACTTTTAGAGGGGAATATTAGTGGGTTAGGTAGGGATGGGGGAACTTGCCTTCCAGAAATCCTTTGCTTCAATTCCCAAATTAAAACCATAAAAATGGGCCAAAGAAACTAGAAGTTGTCCCTTTTGATGATCATGATATTAAACTATAACCTTGTGCCTTTAAAATGTGCTTAATCTTGTTCTAAAGATCAGATACAGACTTCAAACTAGATGATGCTTTTAGGCTTTGTATATTGTTCATACCTTTAAATTTACTTTCTTGCAACTGCTTCTAATTTTGGTTTGTTTACTGGCTTTTGTGTTTTATTTAGAGCTCATTCTGTACTGCATTAGGAATGTCTGAGAAATGACTTAAAATAATTTGTTATACACACATATGTATGAGAACTAGCATTAAGTCAAGCTGTCCACTCTAATGTTTGTTTATTTGTTTGATGTTTAGAGAAAGTAGCTCTTGAGAAAATAGCTCCTGAAAAGAAAGTAGCTTTTGAGAAAGTATCAGAAGACAAGGATAGTGAACTATGTCACACGTGTATACTTCTTGTTAATTATATTGATGGTGAACTGGAGAAGAATGAAACACAAGCCCATATTGGATCTTTCCTTGCTAAAGGATGCCAACTACTCCCCGATGCTTTGGTATATCCAGTAAGTAGTTCTGTAGACAAATTTCTAAGGAGTTAAGATGCTATGGAAGAGTAAAAAAGAGAATCCAGTTGTTTATTTCTCCCCTCATCCTGTTAGAATGGGTAGAAAAAAAGGAGTTATGAATTATAAGCTTCCTGAAGAGTTACAAACCATTTTCCAATTGGTTGGAACATTCACATTAGTTGGGAAGAACTTGAACAACTTTTGAGAAGATGAAAGAAATGTTTTGAGGTTCCAGATCAACAAGATTTTGGGCAACCACAGTGAAATTCTTTGGGAGTTGGAGTGAAGGCAGTATTTCCAGATCAACTCTCTCCTTCCTATAGTCCTTCCGTTGGGCTGGACATCAACATATTGGGGATAATCTGGAATATACTAGAATGAAGCAGGTTGCTCTAGTTACCATGATTTAGATTAATTCATTTAATTGATATGATAAAAGGTTTAGTTGGTTTTGAAGCTAGAGGACCCCACCAGGCACCTGCCTTAGTCTGACTTCTTTCTGCTTTATTACAGTGTGATCAACTGGTGGACCAATATGAACCAGCTGCTATCCATCTCCTGATACAAGTCATGCAAGCACCCTTTGTATGTGTGGTAAGTCATATTGTAAAACTGATTTATATGCAGTTACAAAACCTTAAGTGCCATTGAATTCTTCATTTCACAGTACTTACTGTATGTAACTTGCCAGTCCTTGAAGACAATAAATTCTGGAGGCCACCTGACTCAAAAATGAATATGGGCCGCTAAATCAAACACAGAAAGCAATAAAAAGAAAACAATAAAGAAAACCCCAGGCTTCCAAATACTACTCTCCCTTCACAATATACAGGCCAAATGTGAAGGGGAAGGGGAAGAAACAGGAAAGGGGGTTTGGAGGGAGACAGTGGCTATGCACGCCCCTCTGCAAATGCTCCCTTTTAAGAAAGCATAAAGAACGAGTGGGTCAGAAGCCCTTGTGAAATCCCATCCATGCAGCCTTCATGTACAGCAAAATATTCCTTCTTTTAATGGGAGGGGGAGGGGGAGAAGAGTGGATTTAAAATAGTTTTATAAAGCTCTTTCTAACAAAGTAATATTTTACTCTTTTGCCACACAGAAAATAGGAATTTGTCCTGAACCCCATCTTGTGGGAATGGAGGCCTGTTCCCGGGGCCCTACTTTCTGGTGCAAGAATCTTGAGACTGCAGAGCAGTGCCAGGTAATCAAGTGATTGGGGGAATGGGGGGGGGGAGAGGGAGGAGGAGGAGAGGATTAAATCTTTAGTGCAAAATACTGAGGAAGGAAGGAAGGAAGGAAGGAAGGAAGGAAGGAAGGAAGGAAGGAAGGAAGGAAAATGGATTTCATTTTAAAAAATCCATTTTCAAAACAAGTAGAAAGAAGGCAATCATATTGACTGAGAGAAATATGGATTTTTACTCTTTTTTTTATAAATTAATTCTTTCCTTTCTTTAGCCAAACACTGCTGCAAAGAGAAAAAGCAACAAATAGCTCAATGTCATATACAAATCAAAACCCAAGGAAGGAATAAAAGAAAAACTTGGAGAATAAGATCATAAGCATTTTTTTTTTAAAAAAAGCAGCAGAATTCATTTGTAGAAAGAGCTTCTGGACTAATAATATCCTTTTAAACTTACTGTCACTTTCTTGACACACAATCTTATGGATCCATCAATAAGGTGCCAAGCACGGGATCGCTGATGAAATCCTAACCCTTTCTATTTGTTCAAAATAGCTTTCCTAGTTCTTTCATTAGAAGAAGTCAAATTGCAAACACATTTTTATGCAATACAAGGGAACCAATTCCCTTGTTTGAAAAGCAGTGCTTTTTTTGTAAAAAAAAAAAAAAAGGTGCCGGAACTCACGCGTCATACAAACCGCCTTGCCTTGTAGGATGGAACCTACAAGTTTCCATCCAAAAAAGGTGCCAGAATTCCCTTCTGGGCGTTCTATGAGAAAAAAAGCCCTGTTGAAAAGTAATCTTATATTCATATACATATCAAAAAGATGGGAGGTAAAAGCATTATATTCACAATTTCAGGTCTGTTAGAGTTGCCTGAAGCAACTTCTCTGATAGGAAAGACTTAGATCTGGATGACATCTCACTGAAATCTGAATAAGTCTCACTCATCCCACTTCAAAGCAAATCTCACTAGTAAACAAGTAGTCCTTGACTTACAACCATGATTTCTGTTCCTAAGTGAGCTTTGCTCCATTTTACGATCTTTCTTGCCATAGTTGTTAAGTGAGTCACTGCAGTTGTTAGTAACATAGTTGTTAAGCGAATCTGATTTCCCCATTGACTTTGCTTGTCAGAAGGTCGCAAAAGGGGATCACATGACCCTCGGACACTGCCACCAACATAAATACATGCCAGTTGCTAAGCGTCTGAATTTAGATCACGTGGCCATGGGGATGCTGCAATGGTCATAATTGTGAAAAACGGTCCTCAATCACTTTTCTCAGTGCTGTTGTAACTTCAAATGGTCACTAAACAAACTATTGTAAGTCGAGGACTACCTGTAGTTTACTCCAAGAACCTTCAATTTTTATTGAAAATGGATTAAAAACTGAGACAAGTTGACAGATGGCTCTTGAAGTTCAGGTGTTGGCTGTGTCTCCAGATTCTCAACTTTCTCTTATGGTCAGTTGTGATATGAACTGAAAATCGCTGTTCTCTCCTTTTTCTGTAGGCCACTGAATACTGCAAACACCACATATGGAACTAGAGGAGGAGGTCCTGGCAGTGGAAGAACATTGGCTGTGATGTTCGTTGAATATATCTGGAAACTTGATTTGGGTGAAAAAAAATGTGAAAAATCTGAATCTTGGCAAAAGCCCGTCTTCCTTTCCCACCTTAAGCTCAAAAGAGGCCAGTGTTTCATTTGCTGATCAAGTTCTGAATCACTTTTTTGCTTTGAGCGTATGGTGAGAAAGGAATGTAATTGAGAAGAAGAGGGTGGAAGGATTAATAATATCTTGGGATTGTGTTCATAATAGCAATAATCAATTTTAGGAAGATAAAACAACTATATACAGTAGTCAAAATAACCAGAACAGGTAATTTACACTGGGATTTTCAAGTAATAGGAATGTTGAATTTTGAAAATTTCCTAAGTGGGGAGATGCTTTAGGATGCTGCTGATCAAAACAGATTAGAAGCGACAATAGCTGCAAAGATAGTGGATGTGAAAAGGTGTTGCACCAATGGAGCATTATTCTTCAAGTAGGACATAAATGTGTTCTTAAAAAATGTCAAGGAACAATTCTGCTACTTTTTCTCAAGAAGCTCTGAATTAATGTACATGCTAACCCTTATAGCTATTCTTGAAATGTAGAGTAAAGCAGTGGGGCTTTCTCTTCAATGCTTATGCACATTTTATCAGTTGAAAAAAAGATAAATATTGATCTATTTGATATTGACTATCTAATTGGCAACAGTACCTTTACAAACCCTGTATTTTAAAATTGGATGCTAAATAAAACCTTGATCCTTGAACCAATGCATACTGTATATTGGATTAACCTTGTGAAATGGGTGGTTGTATAAAATTTGATAAAGAAAAATTTATCTTGGAAAGCCAATTGTTCTTTAGCTGCTGAATAGACTAATAGATTTGCATCTCATACAAATAAAATTCTTTTTCAATTAAATGTACTTAAAACTAGTAGGGGGGAAAAACCAGAGAAATGCGACTTGCCCACATCCCAGAGAAGCCAAAATGAACAGAAATTTAGACAGGAGATACAAAGCTCTCAATCCTAATATTCCTATCAATATTGTTCACACTCTAGTCCAGGGGTCTTCAAACTTGGCCTTTTTGACTTGTGGACCTCAACTCCCAGAATTCCTCAGCCAGGCATGCTGGCTGAGAACTTCCTGGAGTTGAAGTCCACAAGTCATAAAAGGGCCAAGTTTGAAGACCCCTGGACTAGTCCTTTTCTAGTAGCATACAGCTGAATGTGATCCAAGCTAGTTCAGAAGGTACAGGTGAGAATTAGGATGACCCTCAAAGTTTGTTATGATGAAGACTAATGTAGGAATATGAAAAACAAGAATAAATATATTCCCTTTCCTTGTATGTGCAGAAGTAACCATCTGTATGCAAATCTTTCTCAGATCAGAATAATTCAATATATTGGGTTCTGCTAATTAAAGCTGCAATTCTTATCCACTTTCCTGGAATAAGTGCAACATCTGATTCTTTTATAACATGATGGGATGCTAATTAGTGAATCCAGGAAACAAAGCTTTCACTTAGAATTCTGCAGATTTCAGAAACAAACTGTTCAGGAAACATTATCCAAGCCTTTCCCTAATTAACGGATACATGCTTTGTCTCAATCTTATGCAATGCACAATTAAAGAGAAGTTCTGAAGCAATTGGCTTTGATTACAACTTGTAACTATAGAAACATTGGCATTTAATTGATAAGGGGGGTGCAAAGCATTTGAAAGAGGGACTTTGTACTACATGGATCCATGAATAAAGCTTCTCTCCTTGAGTTATTAAAACAATTGTGCCTTTTGCAAAGCTTGTTTGATTGTTTCCAAATCTGTCTAGGTTCCTCTAGAACAGGGTCTCCCAAGCTTGGCAACTTTAAGGCACATGGACTTCAATTCCCAGAACTTCCATTCCCCATTGTGAGTAGACACCATCACCTACTGAATCCTAGCTTCTGAATCAGTGACCCACATGGCAGTGGTGCTGTGCCTGACAATTGGGGAGCATTGAGTTCTGCTCCACCTCTATGTGGTCGAATGCAACCTGCATTGTTCCACAACTCCTCTTTCAAATGGCCCAACAAATGATCTTTCAAAGTTGTAGAGATGCCATATTTTTGGTAAGCATTGAAACATCTATTATTAACTCTCTCATCTATTATCTCTCTATCGCTCTATCAATATCTCTCATATCTATCTATCTATCATCCATCTATCTATCAATCTTCATTTATTATCTATATACTGTATCTTGCTTTAATAGAAAGTAGGTTTGTCTTTTCATGTTACGCTGAAGTGAAAATAATCATTTCCCACCAGAACTCCCTTTCTGCAGAAAGGCCCAGAAGATCTCTCTGAATCAAGAACTGTATTGGGCACAAACAATAGCAACAGAATGTAAATTTCTTGGTAAACACATGGTTTACATAGAAGGATAAGAGAGAGAAAGAGATGGGAGAGACAGAGAGATGACTTTGGATATCATTCAATCTATATTATAAAAACTATACTCCTAAAAGAACATCACACTGTGCATTTTCCAAACCTTCTGGCTTTAGAAACATTAAAAGAGTTCTTACAATAAGCTTCACACAGAATCTTGATTTTTTTAAAAAAAATGAACAAAACTTCCCATTAGTTTTGAACAGCTCTTGTATTATAGTTGACACATGAATTAAAAAAAGACAACATTAAAATGTGCTATGTGGTCCAAGAGCTCAACAAGCAGGAAAAGACATAGTGTTGGTAGACGGAGGAAATGTAGGCTTTAGGTATTATTAGATATATTGTTACATTACTCTGACTCAACCACAATCTTTTGAATGGAAGATTAGAATTCAGGGATAACAATGAAGTAAGGCAGGTATTTATTTGCTGCCACTGAACCCATCTTAGGGCAGATGTCTTGGAAGCATATGATTTATAGTTATTACTGTATATATATTATCCTTATTCTAATTCTTATAATCTGTTATTTTTAAATCTTTCACAACATAATCTGACTTCAAAATGATTAAATACTACTTTTAAGTAGAATTAGTTTTTCTTAAATCCAGTCTTGGTGATTTCAGTTTTATAGCTCTGGAGATGACTGTAACTATCATAGTCACTTCTTTTTGGTCAAATTGTGCTGGCAAAAGGTTAATACTAGGCATGAGCAAAATCTACCCTTTCTCCCCCAGATCAACATCTGGAGAAACCACATCTGAAATGGATAGGCCTGTTGTGTCAAAAGTTATACTTGGAAATAAACAGTTATGGTGCAAAGGCTGGCGATTGTAGCGATTGTACTATATATGAATGGTAAATAATGATTTTTCTTGCCCATAAATTCCAGCAAATAGAAGTCCACTCTTGATCATCATTGCTATTTTTCTATGCATTACGATCATCCACCTTGTCATGGTTCTTTTCAAACTTTGCTTTTGGGCATGTAGAATTTTCCTGTTATCTTAACTTCTCCTAAATGGATTCATGTGAATCTCAGGTTAAATAGGTTTCTTTAGATTTAATTTATTCACATCAGAATGGTGTTAGTTCATTATATATACTGTAGATTTCTGCATAATCCATAAGGGACACTTTCAATTCCTTTCCTTGGTAGTTTTAGGAATATGTTACTTTTATTGATGAATATAATTATCATTCTGATTTTTCAGCTGACATGGTGTGTGCATTCAGTCTAAAGTAGTTATGAAATCTATGGCAAAATGGTTAACATGGCATTTGGGATGGAAAAGAGTACACACAGATTAACCAAATTCATGTGTAATGTATTTCTGGTTCCTTTAACAGTCCATTCCAAAAACTCAACACATCATTGTTTGAAATAAAAGAAGAAGAAAAAATTACACACCAACAGTCTGATATCCAGAACCTTATTTAGTCACTCTGCTTGGTTGCTGAACTGTTTTTGTAAGCCAGCAAAATGAAAACATGGCTTCAGGTTTCTTTTCTGGGAAATATGACAACACAGATTAATGCTGAACAGATTTATGGAGCTTCCTGAAGTTTATCACACAACTATTGTGTGAGACCAAATGGATCATCATATAATCATCTTAGCTGCATTCGCTTGGTAGCCATCATTCCCTGCTACCATGGTGGTAGGAGAACACATTGATCCAGTCAAAGATCAATGGACTGATGGAATATGGCACCATGATTATTGCAATTCTAGCTTTAGGTTTATATCACAGGGCTTCCCATAGCTTTTATTTGAAACACTTTATATCTGAAAAACAAAATTAAGAGAGTGAGTCAAATCTTTTGAGCGTCTGGTCCTGAGAGCCTTTATCCCTGGAGCTAGGCCCTTCAGGACTGCTATAGCAAAAGAATGTCTTATCTTGGTTAGATTTACTCTGGAACAGGCGGTGGCCTGGCATTGGTGACCCTGCCCTCTTTTCTTCTCTTGTCCTTTAGTTTGCTGCTCCTCCTGCTGCAGGAGTCTGTGTAGGCCCAGGATCCCTTGGAGGGCTACACCAGTGATGCCACTTCTAGTCATAACTCTGTGATTTCCAGTGGGCTCTCCATGATCACTTCTCTCATCTTGTGCATAGGGGTGGATTTGGCAGATTCAGTACGAGCATTTCTGTCACAATAGGACCCACCTTCAGCAGTCAGTGTCTCTAAGGAGCGAGCTAGTATTTTCTGGTCATCCTCAGGAAGGCTGTTGAGGTCTGAGGTTAGGAGAGTGCCTGTGCTACCGTGGACCACATGGATCCCATCAGGTCCCTTGAGCTCAATAGGCTGCTGATGCCGAAAGCGAAGACTCCCTTGACTAGGGCTCCTTTGCTCCTCCTTCTCCTCATCCAGATCATTCTGGATCAGCTGGAAAAAGACCAGGATGGAACTCAACATATCACATATTTTGTTTTTTTTTCTCAAGCTAATGTTCCCACTGTTTTCAATAGTAAGAATATTGCCTTTCCACATGAATTAGAACAGACTCCTGCTGGGACTATTTCTGAAAATCCTGGTTATATCTAGAATCTAAGCGGTACCTCCCATTTCTGCACAGGCAAATGTGAATGTCTTTCTTCAAGCAATTTTGTAAAGCAACAAAAAATTAGATCTTCCTTTTCCTTTTAAAATTGACGTACTATAACCTTACTAGCAAGGAGTTTCGAACTGATATGACTAAAATGCATCAATGGGATCTATTAAACATGTTGTTGCCCTGTTTTTTTCATGAGCACTTATTTCTTAAATCTTAATAGGCAAGAAAACTTTGTTTCCTATAAAATTATTACATAACAGTCTTAAAGAACCTGCATTGTAGTTCTCTACTGATGATAGGCCTGAACAACACAAACAAACCAGACTTGGCCCATCACCAGTACAGTCCGGAGGACTGGATATGATATCCTGTTCACATTCTCAGCCTGCAAATATACTCCTTACTAATCTCAAATTAGATTCAAAACTGCCGTTTTCCAACCAGAACCATTTTAGGCCCATCAATGTGGATAGTCTTTAGAATGTTGTTCTCTCTTAGTAGGAGATCCAGCAGTATCTAGCATAGCCTTCCCTTTGGCTGGTTGCTAACCTGGGTTGAGCTGCTATGTTCTTTGCTTTTATTTATTCACTTTATTTGTTCAATTTCTGTGGCTGTCCATCTCAGTCAATATGATGTTCTTTTAAAAAAACAAACAATGGAGGATGTTCCGACTCAGTCAATGAACTATCCTTAAATCCTACAAAACCAGCTCTAGTATACATTTTGGTGTCTTTCCAAACTGCGTGAAGCAGTCTCTCCTGCTTTTACTTTCTGCCCAC